ACTTAGCTCATCATAGACCCTTGCACGACCAGATATATGCGAGTACAGTGGCCTCAGTAAGTTACCGTACTTCTGGGGCATTCCTTTTCGAAGAAGAGAGTCCATCAGAGCTTCGCGATCAACTGAGTCGAAGGCTCCTTTCAGGTCAAGGAACTCTGCGATCGATGGTAGGCGGCGGGGGTGACGCAGCTCAAGCACGTGCCACAACGTAAAAATTTGATTGATACATCCATGGCCAGGCCGGAATCCGGCTTGCTGTTCACGGATGGTGATTTCTTTTAAAGATGTCGAGGTATAACTGAAGTTAGTACTTTGGTGACGATCGGGATCTAACTGATCCCTCGGTGGTTTTCGCAATCACTGCGAGATCCCTTCTTAAAAATGGGAACGATCAGTGAGTCGCCTCAAGATGAAGGAATGCGCTCTTGCGTCCAAATGTTGCGCAGTAAAGTAGTAATACAGCTTACGAGCTTATCACCTCCCATTTTAAAAGAGTGGAAGGGAGCTCATCTGGTCCTGCTGCCCTTCCTTGTTTCAGAGCCTGAATGCAAGACCGAACTTTGCTTCCGTCGGAGGATCGCACGACAATGCCCAAAGAGCTTCGGTTGCGGGTGAGGTAACCTGGTTAGCGGCAGGCCAACTGAACTGTTCGCTGAAGTATTCCGCCCAACGATCAAGCCATTCATCCCTATTGTGAATAGCTTGTCCCATCTTACCACAGACTGTTTCACTAACTGCAGTTCACCGCCCTCCCGTATTACGTATCAGTCGGAATAGTTTTTGACTAGTCGCTGATGCGACTGCTATTTCCATTTCACTAGCTATTGTTGCCCACCAGTTTTCACGGTCCCTCTTATGGCTTTTCTTCAGCCGACGTAGCAGACGCCACCTAACTTTGTTTTGATCCTGGCAGGTCGGGATTTGTCGTTTTTTTTCTCCATCAGGGCTACTGACTTCTGAGATATCCAATGCCTCCGACGGGCTTGAGGCTCAGACCCACAAGGAACATTCGCTGCGGAATGTATTGCCCGCCTAATCTGATCCCACTGGTCATCTACATCATCAGATTGAGGCGCGCTTAGTCCACGCACTAGCTCTGATTCACAGCGTACACGAACTGCTGGAACAGATAGTCGATGATGAGCTATACGAGTTTGCTGGATTTTTCGCCGACCAGGCAGTCGGACAGTCAACTGCATCAAAACTAGTGCGTGGTCGGACTCAACGCAGGTGGTCCAATAGGACCTGTAATTTTTCACTGAGCCACGTCAACGGTAGCTTACTGCTATGTGGTCGATTTGAGTTAGTGTACCAGTTGAACTGGAGCCCCACGTTAGCGTCGGAAGTTGCTGCTAGATAGGAACAGACGATGATCCGAGCAGAACTGAAGAAGTCGATAACCGTTATCTGTTCGGTGGCAGGGTAGAGCACAACTTCCGCCTAAATAGGTTTCTGATCCACTCAGTTTTCCAACTTGAGCGTTAATGTCACCTGCAAGCACAACTATGTCGGAGCTGCGACTCAGTCGCATGAGATCGATGAGTTCATCGTAGGAAGCGTCCTTTTGAGTATCAGAACTGCAATTGGTCGGTGCGTGTGCCGATACGATGAACAAACACCTTTTAGTGTTGCTTCCCTTCCAGACGCTGATTGAACCCTGGAGACGCACTGCACACAAACGACTGTTGACGGGGATCCAATCGATGGGAGAGGACTCCACCCTTTACTGAGTACAATACCTACTACGCACTGACCTACTGAACGAGCTTCATCATCGCCTGATGTGCGAAGAACATATCTCGTCGACAAATCTAGCGCGCTCAAGCAGCTTATAGTAGTAGGATCCTGGATTCCAGTTTCTGACACGCAGCAAATATCAATTCCTAAGGATTTCATTGTACGAGCCAGACAAGCTTATTGACCTAGTTGCATCAAAGTCCTCACGATGAAGGCCCCCAGATTAAGTGATTGACGAAGCTTTAGAATCTGCAATTCACTTTGTGGTGCAATAAATACAGTGCTATTTGGCAACGACCTTTGGCGAGTGACATCCAAGTTGCCTGATGGACTATTGGAGGCTGGAAGGAGGGGCAAATGGAGAGGGCTGGGTGCTGAAGATAAGGAATCAAACGAAGGTTGGGAAATTTGAGCAGTAGCCCACTTTTCACTACCCACCCCGTTCGATGCAATGGACAGTGCGGTCCTGATTATCCTACGCGACGACCGATACGGTATGAAACTATTTTTGTTTTGTGTATGCATTGGGGGTTGTTGGACGGGTACTGCTAGGGGTGTCCAGCCACTAAGCATCGAAGTGTATTGAGCACCTTAGACGTCGCACCCCGTCCATAGGGCGTATGATCCGACGAACTGGATATCGATCCCCAATGGAATACGGTTTTCAAACACCACCCTGTTGTCTTGCGGTTTGAAATTTTGTTAACCGAAGAACCCGGTTGAGTCTTTAAGAAAATTCACCTGCATTGGTCTGGACAAACGAGCAGTATCACGCNACACAAGCAAATCACAGAATTTTTTCTTTCTATAAAAACTATAGTACTGTGATTTGTTTGGCACACAGTCTGAAATTAGAAGGGTGTAAAAATATATCAACTTAGACATGTCACAAGCACTGACACCAGAATAGAAAATAAGGAGTATACTAAGAGGAATGCAGTTCACTTAGGTGTTTTTACACCCATTAACTATGCTCTTTCGTGCGCCGCCAGTTTTGTTGCTGCCTCAAAGCTTTCCATTTGGATGAGGTGAAGAGAAGATAGAAATGTTCAAAGTAGTGGCAGAGTGAAAAAAAGAGAAATCACGGGGGACATGGGTGCAAGGATATTGAATAAATCCACGAGCATCACTGTTTGCGACACCCAGTCATATCATTCAGTGTCTCTAACCATTGATTACAATGATCATATGCAGGAAGAATAACGCGACCTACGTGATCAAGTCTCCTGGTTAGGGTTTTTATACCCTCATGATAGGTCTTAGTTTGACCACCTTTGGCTTCATTCCACCTATTACCTACCCCAGTGAACGTCGCTCGCCGTGGAAACCTATCGGATGATATGCGTAACACATGCCCCAACCAACGTAATCCATGGAGATCGACCACTGGATCCAGTGGATGACTGCGATTACCCAAAAACTCTGCGTCTAACCTCAGTACTGTTTGTCTGGTTACCCTCCCAGACTCGTGCGTAGAAGGCGCCGGTGGAAGACTATCTATCTTTATTCTGTTTTCGTA